TCAGTAGCACGCCTTTATATTTCACGTACAACCAATTTCCATCTATTTGAATAACAGGTTTGCAGAATGCAAACCCTCTAATGTAAGGTTGAAAAGCCCATAACATTCGACAAAATATTTCATTTATGTTGACATAAGGAGCGTACGTGCGAAGTGCATGCAGGTAGCACATTAGATTTTTGTATGAATCTTCCTAGTTTTTGTATACACTTTCAATCGCCTTGGTCTTTGCTAACCATGCCTTTCTGTATGAGGGAGTATAATTGTATATTATAGTGATGTGAGAGATTATTGTGCTTACCTTTAATGACGGATCATTACTGACTATAGGTAAGATTTCTTGACATATAAGATCATAACTTAGTATACGATGATCTTGTGTCTGATTAGAGTTAACACAAGTTTGGGTTTGAGAAATAGAGCCTATCACCCAGGAATCACTTCTCATCTTGTATGATGTTGTCAGCCTAAACATACACTACGAGTGGACACACCTAATTTTGTACCTCTCCGCATTTGTTCGGTCTACTTTAAAATCCAGAGTTTACCATGTGAAACTTTTTATAGCTCGCACACAATCTTCTTTTGAACAAAATTTTTCTTTCTCTTTTGAATTTTCATATGATTGCATATACGGGTTGTAGAATATATCTGATGATAGTTCATCTCCTCCCGAGTTAAAGTTAGTCATGTGCGAAGGTGGGTGTAGATTTGAGTTGGAGGTATTGGACATTGATCATCGTCTTCAGAATTATCATTCACCATGTCATCAACTTCTACCTCTGGTTCTTAGTTTTCTTCGTCAACGGCATCGACTTCAGCTTGTTCATCTTTGATGGGATCAACAAGTTGTGACTCAATTGGTTGTGAGAATTGAGGTTGATGGAGCAAAATGTACAATTAAATCGAGTCGTACCCATAATGTTCATGATTACAAAACATATTTTGAAGATCTTTGTCATCTTAAACCTCTACCTGATAAAATTATTTGGTTCGTGCAAAGAAAACGGGATGTTGGTAGAATATTTGTGACATTGGACCTCATTCAAGTTTGACGTCTAGTCGCTTTTTGAAATACGAGAAATTGGCTTTTCTATTTAAACAAAAGCAGAAATTATCGGTGTTTCGAAATAAAAATTCAAATACATCACAATGGTACGTCTCATCATTGACGTGTGCATTGATAACTTGTGGTACAAAGGTCATTTTGTTGTTTGAGTGTTTGAATGTGTGAGTGTTTAAGGGATGAGATTCAAGCATATTAAATAGGTACATATGGAAAAACATCAGACAAAATTGTATGGAAACATATAAGCCAAGTCAGATGGTGCCTCCATTCAAAATTGGCCTAATACGCCATTTGAAATGGTGCCTTGGTATTAGACAATACAACTAGTCTTCCACGCCTATGCCCTGCTCTGCTACCTAGCCAACTCTGCCACCTACTCTGCATCATAGGCTACCAACTAGCCTTCTCTGTGCCACTTTGAATGGCGCCTCAATTCATATTTTCATGTAGGCGCCATCTAATTTGGACGATAGGTGTCACGTGTCAGCCATGCACATCATGACTCAACCACCTCTTTAATTCAAACATCTACCCATTCGCCTATAAATATCATCCTCAATTGGTTTGTTTACATCACCATTCCTCACACTCTCTTATATACACTATCACACTCTCTGATACACTATCTAAAACAATTTTAATTATGGATCTCCTCACCATGAGAGATGATCATAGAGGAACAATATCAAACATTTTCGCCTTTATAAGTTTTAATACATTCATTTATATGTGCATTTTATATTTAGTCATACACACTTCATTTATATATGAATTTTTATTTTAGGATACATTAAGATTTCGATGTCGCTCACACTCTTATGTCTCTCCAGACCCGTAGATTATCCCATATCTAGAACGTGTCGGTTTTGGACATGTTATTGATATATCAAACTGCACCATTGGTATGAAGTTTATACTCGCATTGTTGGAAAGGTGGAGACCCGAAACACATATTTTTCATCTCCCAACGGGTGAATATACCGTCATACTAGAGGACGCGTACATGTTGTTGGGTCTCCCTATTGAGGGTAAGACAGTTAATGGATGGGTTCAACAACTCAATTCCCTACGCGCGGAAATGTTTGGCAAAGATATGATAGATGGAACAGGTGCGAGGGGCCAATGTATTTTACTAAAGAACCTTAAAAAGCATTATAGATCTCTTAGGTTGGATGAAAATTTGTCTGAGGAAGATAAATTAGTTAAAGCTACGAATTATATTATGATACTATTTGGAAGCATGTTATTCCCCGAAAGTACGGGTAATAGTGTTAATTTTATGTATTTAAGTCTGTTTAAGAATATTGATAAAATAAAAGGGTATAGTTGGGATTCCACCGTTTTAGCCCATCTATATAGTTCATTATGTAAAGATACCAACAAAAAAAACACTTGTACTTTTATGGATGCACTTTCTTGCTCCAAGCATGGGGTTGGTGGAGAATGGAGTCCTTTTTCCCCATCAATAACAATATCTTCATGTTCCCATATGCAACAAAGTAAATCTATAACGATATTTCCATTTTCTCACTTTATGCTAAATAGTTGTACATAATTTTTTTATCTCTCTTTGCTTTAAGTTTTGTGTAAGAAGGATGGATTACAGCAAAAATCTGAGATGAAATGTCGGTCTATATCGTAATCTTTTGGATCACATAGGACCATATGATGTATTACCACTAAATTATTCTTCTTTTAAGTTATTTATTTTTAAAGTTATCATTGTTACAATAAAATTTTATCTGCAGTTTATTTAGAGACCATATTTGAGTTTGGACCATCAACCCGACCTTGAGGATGCAACAGTTTGGACTACAAAAACTTCGATCATACGATTCAATATTATAGAGATGCACCACGGCGGCCGTTTCAAAATGCAGTTTGGTGTGCTTCAACAAATATCGTGTGCCCCGACTTGTTTGTCACCTTGGCATCTCCTTAGAGTCGATGCCCAGTGGAATGAACAATCAGAAAGAATATGCTAAAGAATTGTGTCAGATATGGAAGAAGCGCGACCGACATGCGCTACAATTCCCTGTTGCCCCGCGAACCAAAAAATGCAACACACAAATGAGTATTTAAGTTGGTACAAATTGGTTACTAACCCTGAAATGTTTGTGTTTGACCCGAAGTATTTGATCAATCCACACACATGAGTTGCATCGTCTTCAAATGTCCAACAACACTACCAACAATCATACACCACCCAACAACAAACCCAACACACATCAACCTCTCAACCAACACAACGACGTTATAGATCCACAAGCACCCAACCCCAATCCCAAGATCAATACCAATACACACATGCTCCACATGCAATCAAAATACCAAGAACAAAGACCACACATCTGACATCTTGATGTGGATCGCTCATCATCTCACCTTAGCCCTGACATGGGCATACCTGAAGAATATTCCTTAATCGACCCAATGTACGTTCAACCATCACATCACTGTAGCACCCAACAAACATATGGATACCAAACTCCACAAAATTCATTTTCTTTTTATCCCATTTATTCAGATGTTCAGTGTTATTGACCACCCATGGAACCCAATTTCCCACCAAGACGATCAAACTTTGAGAACATGGATAACCAACTGTTTGAAAGCGAGACTTCTGAATATGGAGATCTGAAGGATCTCATGGATCCTGGCCGTATTGACCTAGCAGGGCCCTCGACCCAACCACAAGAGAAAAATCGTAGAGTCACACAACGAGTTAGGCAGGGATACGGGTGCAGAACTACTGATCGTTATCGACTCTCAGACGACAACTAAATAATATGTAATTGTAATTTTTATTCCCAAATGTAATTGTTTCATTATTCTTAAAAATCAAAATATTTTTATGAGAAATTGTATTATTATTTATAAAAGAATTATAAATAAAATTATACTGCACCTAGACGCCATATGAGATGACTTATGAGAAATCAGATGCATCTAAACACCATCTCATATTTCGCCTCCCTTACAAAATTGAATGCATGTGTCATCTCATATGACGTGACCATTTAAATCACTTCTGAAACATAATTATTTGGATAGTTTTTTCTGAAAGTTGGTTATTGATATTTTTTTTTCAATAATTGGTTATTCCAACAAAAAAATATGAATAAAATAGTGACATTGCAATTACAATTGTCTAAAATACTCTATCCGTCTCAAAATAAGTGTCACATTTAGAAGAAAATATTGTCTTAAAATACTTGTCGCTTTAGATTACCAATGCAATTTTATATTTAATCTTCCAATTGTACTATCTAATAAATACTCTTAATTTATTATTTTAACATATAACATTAATGCTAATTTGAATATACTAATAATTAATCAAAATAATTTGATAAAAACACTATTCTCTATTTTATTTATTACTGTTTCTTAATCTATATAAAATAGTTTAATGTGACAAATAATATGAGACGGAGGGAGTATTGTTTTTCTTTTATATTTACTTATCTCTTTTAATTCAATTACTTTTTATATTCAAATTTATCATGAATATTAATTCAATAGTATATGTCCGTGGACGGATAAACGTCTAGTAAAGACTTTGATCTCTAACAATTATAACAAACTCAAAATTTACTGTAATATATTTATAAAATTTATTAATAATTGATGTTATTCATTTTATTTTTTAAAGTGAATTGTTCACTTTAGAAAAAATGGAAAAGTAATTACTGGAAGAGCTTCTGAATATGAAAAATGGAAGAGCGACTACTATATGCTAAAATCATTTCACTTCTCACTAGAATAGGAATATAAGTTGATGAAAAAGTAATTCCTGGCAGAGATTTACAGATGTTCGACCATACACTTCAGTTTCCAAGGCTGTATAATAAGTGTCGCTACTTTGTTTTCCATTTTAGGGAAACAATCCCTAATGACTAACAGGATGTCAGAAATATGGAATATGTTATTACCAATCATCATCAAGGCTCGCTTGGTGGAAACACATAACTGTACATATAAATATGAAGAACGATACAAGCTCAATGAGCATTGCCCCAGTCTCAATCATGTGAGCATGCTTAAGGATTATAGGAATGGCTATGCTCCCCATAGCTGATGCTCCAGTCAAAAACTTTGCAGCATCCATCCAACTACAACATTATACCATACATTATATTTCCCGTTGGGTAATAAACATCTTTAAAAATTTGTATAAATTTGTATGTGCACGTTCATATTGAATTGGAAAGGTCATTTCAGTGTAAAACCAGTTGCATAAAACAGAACAGCAGATAACCCTAAAGCTAGCTAAACGCATGAAAAATGATTTTGTAAAAAATTAGAGAACTTTACGCAAGAGATACTTACCCCCCACCCTCGCGGCTCATCATAAAATGAGTAGACCCGCCTCCAAAGAATAAGCAAGGCATAGGCACCAGCACATACATCAGAGCTGCAGGTGCAATGTTATGACTATTAAATTTTCAATCTGAAAACAGGACTTCCAGTTCCAGCATAAAAGACTAACTCACCTGATAACATGGGCCACCAATTGTTGTAAATCGCACATGCCTGCCATATCAAAAAGAAAGCAAATGGAATATATACATTAACAATTGAAAGTAAATGACTATTTAGCATACCAGAGAAGAATCATATGTGCCACTATAGTATTCCATATTCAATATTTAAGTCAGATCATGTATCAACCATATCATCAAAAAATAGCAACAAAAAGAAAATCCGGGTCATCAAATCCTACCTATCCTATCCCAGTGAGTTTTGAGTCGGCCGGAGACCTCCAAGTTTGAGTACTCAGAGCTTAAAAACTAAAACCATGCGTAGTTTAAATACATACCGCGGACAAATCAAGCCGAAGCAATAACATGTACCTTGTTAGATGACTGTAACTATCAGGTGTCTGTTAGTGACTGTTTGTTTTCTCCTCTAATTCACCACCAATTCTAGAATTTTCTGGCATTTATTTTTGGTTGGTTAATATTTATCATCTAAAGGAAAGATCTTTATGGTGTGAGACTTTTATTATTTGACAATTCATGAGAGTTGTTAGTAATTATGATATGTGTTGGTTGTTTCTTTCGTAATTATTTTCTGCAATTTCTTTGGCATGTAAGAAATATTTTTATTCTATTTGCAATATTGCCACGGCACTAGCCATATTTATATCCCGGATTTTTGGCTAGTCACCATAGTCTATCATCCACAATTAATAATACAGACGGTAGTCTTAATAGTGAGAATGATAATGTTTTCAGCAGAAACATTGCAGGGTCAATGGCAATAGGACTCAAGGTGGTTCAGCTCAGGCACGTGTATGTGCCCTGAGGTTTGGCAAGCTTATCATAGAGGTAGGAAGAAAATGCTCCAAGTTAGTTAGCAGTGGGAATGATTCTTGCATGCGTAAAGGTCATATAAGGGGATAGTGGTAGTGGCCGGTGGAGTATGAAGTTATTTTTAGCAGAGTTTTGCTATTTTTTTACTATTGTAAGCTACGCAAGGTGCTCGTGCTTGTATCCTCTAAAGGAGCTATGCCATAGGAATGCACGGGAATGTATTTCCTCTTATTATTCCTTTAATGTCAATAATATCATAAGCAATTCTTTGTTGGGCTTAGTGAGGCCCCAATTCGGGTGTGCCAAAAAATTAGTGGTAGAAATGATAGGGCACGATAGGAATTAAGGCAGAGGAGTCAATAAGGAAGGAACCTAATTGAATGGACAGGTGCAAGCAAACTAATGATGGAGTGTAGGACGGAAGAGGCATCGATTTGTAAGGGAATTCTAAGAAGCTTAGATGCTTAGGAAGAGTGGTGTTCTTGCTTCTCTATGTTTATTTTTTGTATTTTCCTACTTTTTTCCAAAAATTGGTTTTATTCTTTGACTTCCGCTATTGTTTCTATATAAAATATCATTCCTATCAATTTGGTATCAAAGCTCCAATCTTCAAGGGTAGCAAAACAAGGATGGATCCAGCCTTTCAGAGTTTGATGGACAAGATATAGGTGGTTGATCAACATTTCGTTTTAGTGAAACACTCAAAGCAAAGAGGCTAATAAGGCCTTAAAAAGCTGCACTCTCATTTAGTATCAACATTCAATTCAATCATGCAACTTGATGGGCCTTTGTGAAGGCTCTAACCAAATGTTTTCCACCTGAATATGATTTAGATCAAACTGTTTTAAAGTTGGGTCTATGGGAATTGGGAACCAGAACCATTGTTGTCTGAGTTGGGAAAGAAAGATTATTCTCTGGTCTAGATTATGAAATCCAAAACCCCAGTTCTAGGGTATAGAGAATGGAGGCTTAAAAACTGCAATACAATGGGAAGAGACAAAATATCATTTACAGACCAAGACTGCTCTGTAAGAGAAATTTGAAAAAGAGCAAGTAAATTGCTTGATAGGGCAGTGATCGGGAAAGAAGGTCAAGAATATGGATGGATCACCAGTGGTGATTAATGGGTCTTATACTTTTTTAGTTGAGCCTTCATGGCCAGAACCACAAGTCCATATTCCTTGTACAATGGCTGATGGAAAAATGGTAGATTAATCCCAAATTGAGGTGGTTGTAATAACTAGAAAGTTCTTGAAGGCAGAGGAAGAGGGAGGGATGGAATGGGAATTAAACTGAAATTTAATTTATTCTCAGAACTCCGCAATTATTTCTACAGTAAAATCCTGGTTCTGGTCATCACATATAACATTTCCATTTAAAATCCTCAGTCCTAACAGGCATCAACAGAGGCGGTGAGGATGATATGTTTGAGAGCAAGAAGGAAGCAGATGATTTAGTGGCCTTCAAAGCATGATGTAGAGGAAGGCAGAATTTAATTTCAGTGGCCCTTATGAGATGGTGATTGGTGACATTGCAGGCCAAGTCAATATCAAAAGTCAGAACAAAAGGTTGAAGTCAAGTATTTGGTTACCAACCACAAATAGAAACGTCATTTGAATAGTTGCAGTAGTTTCAGTCTTTCAAACCACAAACAGTAGAATAGAGCGGGTAAGTTATCAGCTAGTGCAAAGGAAAGAGACAAACTATCACCTTGAGAGCAAGGTTAAATTTTAGGTGTATGTTAATGACTCTGTCAGTTTAGTTAAATTGCTTGTACTGAGAGAATAAGACAAAATGAAGCAAGTTTCCTATAGCTAAAAGGAAAAGACAAGAGGGATACTGACTTTAACTTGAGAGAGAATTGGGGATTGTCCCTATTTACTTTCTAATAATACAAATTTTGTATATTCTCCTCTTCCTAACAAATTTGAAGATTAAAAATCCAACAAGATCTGAAGTAATAAGAATAAGACCCTATGCAGCAGCAGTGGCTGGATTTAAAAAACCTGACTTAATATGGGATCATGGTCTCACATACTCAGAAGCCTCAAATAGAATTTTACTTCTTGTAACATTGGTTAGGTTGAACTTTATCCTGTTCATTTAATTTTCATCCTATGTTAAACTTTAAAATTACAATTCTTCTCATTTCACTTTGTGCCCTTGCTTTTTAAATAGGAATTAGGAAGATTTCCTCCCCTCCTTCCCTTCATCATTCCTTTATCTCCCATCTAAAACTTTCACACTTGTTATAGGCTCTTGTTAAAATACGAGAGACTAAGAGACACTTGAATAAACTGTGTGTTTTGAAAAGTACTATGGAAACTTTATTATATGTAGAGAGATACGAGAGACTAAGAGACACTTGAATAAAATGTGTTTTGAAAAGTACTATGGAGACTTAATTATATGTAGAGAGATTACAGCTAATTACATGATATAGTTAATGTGGAACTATTCTATATACAAATATTCTTAACACTATATATTTACAAATATCAACAGATCTAAATTAAATTGGTTATTTGGCATGTTTAAGTTCACAACAAAACTTGATTCTAAATGAAATTAGTAGAATTAGATGATATGGATGCATTTGTGGGTAAGCAGTATCAAAAGAGGAAGACCTCTAGTTCTGCTGATTAGGATTTATTATTTTATTTATTTTTAATAAGTTAGTACTTAGGATTTTTAAATTTGAATTTCATTAATTTTAGGATAAGAATTAGGTTAAAACAAAATCTACCTATTAACTAGGATTGTTATCATTTAAATTTAAATGATAGTAATTTTAGGGAAAAGTGGTTATTGACCTCATTTAATTAGGGCTTCTCATTCTACTGTAAGTCTATTTAAAGGCATTCAGATTATCAATAAAAATCATCAATAATTATTATCAAAAATACTTGTGAATTTTAGAAGAGACTCTGTCAAGGACGAGTCCGCTTCTACCTTCACTATAGGTCGAAACAAAGCTTCTACCGCGTCTAGGACTGTGTCAACATGATCCCAGACAAAGGGCCATAACAATTTGGTATCTAGAGCCAACATGGGTGATGCGGATTTAGCATCAGTCATGAAGGAATTCATGGAACAGATGACAGTCAGGCAGACTGCTCTAGAAGAGCAGATGGCTAACCTTTCCATCATAGTTCAAGGAGTGAATAATGGTCCAAGAAACGGCAACTCAAAAGTTGGAGGAAACAATAATGATCAAAGACAAAAACATCTCGCAAATGGGGGGAGGCATGATTCCACGCTATTCCAAAATCGAATTCCCCACTTATGATGGGACAAACGACCCACTAGGGTGGTTGAGGCGATGTGACAGGTTTTTTCTGAACCAAAGAAGTACCGAAGAAGACAAGGTGGGATTGGCAGCGTTTCATCTGATAGGAGAAGCAAAACTATGGTTTGATCAAATGGAAGAAGAAGAGCCCGGAATGGTGTGGGAACGTTTCAAGGAATGTTGCCATATACGGTTCGGACCACCTATGAGTAATAATCCATTGGGAGAACTCGCCAACCTCAAGCAAATTGGATCCGTGGATGATTATCAACGCCAATTTCAGTCCTTGCTTGCTAGAACCCACGATCTTGAGCCTAAACAACAAGTAGACTTATTTAGTGTTGGGCTGATTGATGAATTAAGGATAGATGTTGAACTTCAACAACCAGAAAATCTAGGAGTTGCTATGAACATGGCTCGCGCATTTGAACGAAAACTAAAGTCCTCACGAGGAACGCTTACAACACGTGATAATGCAAGTAGAACCTTCAACAATGGTTCTGCCAGCTCAAACCATAAAGGCACGGCAGCAAAAGGAGGAGGACACACAACCAAACTGACTGGAAGTAATAACAAAACAAGTTCTGCACCATTTATCAAAAGATTAACACGTGCGGAAATGGCAGAAAGGAAGTCAAAGGGGTTGTGTTACAACTGTGATGAGTCCTTCACAACAGGACATAAATGTAAAAAGTTGTTTTTGATTGAAGGGATCGAGGAAGAGGACAGTGAGTCAGAGGACGAAGCTACTGCAGATCCTCAAATTTCTCTGCATGCCATTAATGGAAATCATGATTCTGGTACTATGAAGTTGATTGCGAAAGTGGCTGGAGTAACAGTATCAGTTTTAGTTGATTCAGGGAGCACACATAATTTCATATGTGAAGACTTAATTCCATGTTTGGGGTTAAATGTATGGAAAAAATCAGGGCTGCGAGTATATGTTGCAAATGGGGAGAAGGTAACTAGTATGGGAATTCGCAAGTCTGTACCATTTTTTGTGGCACAAGAAAGGTTTCAAACAGATCTCTATACCATTCCACTTGCTGGATTTGATGTGATTTTAGGAGTCAAATGGCTGTGCACATTAGGTCCAATTTTATGGGATTTTTGTTCCTTAAAAATGGAGTTTACGGTGAATGGGAAGAAGGTAGAATGGACGGGTAAACCTGCAGAATCAGAACATAGACTGAATTTGATGCAGGGACAGAATTCCCCAGCAGTGATCTTAGAGAAGTTGTTGGCTGACTTTGCAGACTTGTTCATGGAACCATCGTGCCTACCACCTAGTTGTGATTGTGATCACTGCATTCCGCTTAAACCGGGCACAGGACCAGTGGTTGTCAGGCCATACAGGTACCCACATTTTCAAAAAGATGAGATCGAAAGGCAGTGCACTCGATGTTGCAACAAGGGATTATCCGAACCAGCAAGTCCCCATTCTATTCACCTGTAATAGAGTTATTATATAGTTAGTCAGTTAGTTTATATTTCTGTTCTAATATTCTGTTAGTTCTATATGCTGAGCTGTCATATTTCTGTTATAGCAGCTTTAGTTTGTTAGATCTAAGTCTCTCTATATTGAGAGCTCCCTGTATCTTCTCATTTCAGTTAATACAATGAGTTTATCAAACTGTTTTCTCTCCTCTCTTCATTATCAAACTCTATCATGGTATCTAGAGCTTAATTTTTCGATCCATGGAGTCCTTGTTTCCGTCTTCGCAAGTGAAGCTTTCTCACTTGATCTATGTAAAGCTTGATGATAGGAACTTCAAGCAATGGAAGCAACAGATTGACGGAGTTGTACGCGGTCATCGCCTACAACGGTTTGTTACTGTTCCGGTGATTCCTCAGAGATCACCGTCCGATTCCAATACGACACCACACGGTGTGAATTCTGCATATCTGGAGTGGGAACAACAGGACGCACTCATCTGCACTTGGTCACTCTCTACTGTCTCAGATTCGCTTCTCCCGAAGCTTGTAGAGTGCAGACATTCGTGGCGGGTATGGACTGAAATCCATCACTACATCAATACGCTCCTCACAACCAAAGCGCGCCAACTGCGATCGGAGCTCCGGTAGCTTACGAAAAGCACTCTCATGATTACGGAACTCATCGTGCGTACACGCGAAATCAGTGAATCACTGATTTCGATTGGGGATCCGGTACCGTTACGTAACCTAATCGAGATCGTTCTTGATTCTTTGCCAAAAGATTACGATCTGATTGTTGCTGCCGTTAACAGCAAAGACAAATTAAGTTCCTTGGATGAGTTGGAGTTGCCGCTGTTAGCGCACGAATCGCGCCTTGAGAAGCATCGTAAGCCTGTGGTTACTGAACCGGCAACGGTGAATCTAACTCAGGCAGTGCCGTCGTCTTCGCTGGTTACCTCTGATCAACCAGCATTGACGGACGCTTTCCCTCAAGGTACGAGTCATGTGACTGCCAACGCTGATAATCACACTTATGGATCTCGTGGAGGTCGTTCCGGTCGTGGTGGTGGCCGCTATGGACGTGGTGGAGGTCGTTTTGGCAAAACGCAATGTCAGATTTGTCACAAATCTGGACATGACGCATATATCTGCTACTATCGTTACTCTAATTCCAGTGGTGCTGCATATCTACCTCCAAGAGCTCAATATAATCCCTTCCTTATGCAATCACGCCCTATGTTTCCAGCTCAATTTGGATATTTTGTTCCCAGAGGTAGTGCACCTCATAGATCTTCTGCACCACAGGCGTTTTATGCAGGTTCTGAAGCTGGTTTTAATAACTAATGGTGGTATCCTGATTCAGGAGCTTCTCATCATGTTACTCCTGACGCCTCTAATTTGTCTGATTTTGTTTCATTTCCAGGAACTGAGCAAGTATTCATGGGAAATGGCCAAGATTTGTCTATAAATTCTGTTGGTTCCATGTCATTTTACTTGCCACACACTTCCAACCTACCTCTTACCCTTAGAAATCTTCTCCTTGTCCCTAACATAACCAAAAACTTAATGAGTGTGAGCAAATTTGCTCAAGATAATCATGTCTTTTTTGAATTTCATCCTAATTTCTGTGATGCTAAATCTCAGGCTACTTCTGAAGTGTTACTTCGTAGGTCTGTTGGAGATGATGGACTTTACAAGTTCTCTAATCCTACCACTCAGCTATCCAAGTCTAGTTTTCCAAGTCCAAATTCATGTTCTGCTCAATCTACAAATTGCAGGGCTAGCTGTAATTTGTCATCTTCATCTGTAGCACACAATACTCCTGTTTTCAATTGTTTACCAAATTGTATAAGTCATTGTAATACTCTTTGTAATCATGATCAGTTTCATAATAATATGAGCAGTTTTACTCATTCTCCTTCTCTTAATTCTACTACTTACAACACTCATGTATCTTCTCCACATTCTAATAGTTCATCCTCCATAGCCATAAGTAAATATGTTTTTTGGCATACTAGATTAAGACACCCGAATCATCATTCTCTAGTTGAAGTTTTCAAACTATGCAACTTCCCTAATTTTCCAAAACCACCTACAGAATTGTGTCAGGCTTGCTGCCTTGGCAAGTCCCACAGATTACCATCTACCCTATCTACCATTGTTTACACCCATCCTTTTGAATTAGTTGTTTGTGATCTTTGGGGTCCTGCACCTATAAAATCTACAGGTGGTTACACATACTTCCTCACTTGTGTAGATGCATTTTCTAGGTTTGTTTGGGTATTCCCTCTCAAACTCAAATCTGATACCTTTATCCAGTTTACTCAGTTTAATAAAATAGTTGAACTTCAATTCAATTACCATATCAAATGTGTTCAAAGTGATGGTGGAGGAGATTAGGCCCCTCACCAAATATCTAAATGATTTGGGTATTGTTCATAGACTCACTTGTCCTCATACTCATCATCAAAATGGCCTTGTTGAACGTAAGCATAGGCATATAGTTGAAACAGGGCTCACACTTCTAGCCCAATCCATCCTTCCTTTAAAATTTTGGGACCAGGCCTTTGTCACAGCTGCCTATCTTATTAACAGAATACCTAGTCCCACACTTGACAATTTCTCTCCTTATTTCAAACTTCTAAATAAGCCCCCAGATTATTCAAACCTTAAAGTCTTTGGTTGTTCTTGCTATCCCTTTCTTCGTCCCTACAATGCCCATAAGTTAGCCTATAGGTCCCAAGAGTGCTTATTTCTTGGCTATTCTACAGCTCACAGAGGTTACAAGTGCCTAGCTTCTGATGGTCACATCTATATCTCCAAAGATGTGGTGTTTCATGAGTCTAAATTCTCATACCAGTCCATGTTCCCCACTGCATCTCAATCTTCCTTATCCAACACAAGTCTCAATTCTACTAATGCCTCCTCCTGGTCAGTCCCTTCTATAATTCCATCCCCTGAATCCAGGCAACCTACATCCTCTCCTTCCCTTAATCCTCCTTCTCCTACTCAGGCTGAACATCATAATTTTGTCTCTCCTTCAGCCTCCTATTCTAAGTCCGTCTCAACTTCTAATTCTAGTTCTACTGCATCCCACAGCCCTGCACCTCATACTGCATCCCATGTTCCTTCAAGTTCTGCTTCAGCTTCTCATACTCATGACCAACCAGTCCTAGCTAATGCTGACCACACCCCTCCCTGCTCTCCTGCCCTCATTCTTTCAGACCCTGCTGAAGCATCTACCATTTCTCCCTCTTCCTCTCAAACTGTTTCCTCTAACCCCTCCCACTCCAACCAACCTTTTGTCAATCTCTCAATGTGCATCCTATGCAAACCAGAGCCAAAAGAGGCA